AAACAAGTCAAAGTGAAATAGAAATGAAATACTTTTTGCATTTTTAAAAAGTAAGGATTAGAAAGTACAGATACAGTAATTGAATTGAAATGCAAGAAGTAGAAGTAAAAAGTAGGCTGAAAAATAATTACTCCACTAAGGTATAAATAACCAAAATTTCTACTTAAGTAAAGTAACAAAGAGCGGCCAGACACTGTTTGAGTTGACACAATTACCCTCCAACATCCACAGGGTAAGTAGCCATAACATTATGTGTCAAAAGATAACACTGAACATGAGATGTTCAGTAAAATGCTTTTCCTGTAAACAACTTTTTTACATAGCACACAAAATGGTAGCAGGGCTGAAGAAATATATTGGGGTTTTTTATTTACTGATTTTTAAAAGCACCACACATTTTGTAGGTTTTCCTTTGGTGAATAGGGACATATATTTTTTATAAACTACTGTGTGGTTATTTTTATGATTAAAATAATGATTTTATGTAGAGACTGGTCTGGGTGACTATAACAAATGGCTGTCCTGATGCATCTCAGTAATCCAGGTAGAAAAAATCAGTAGGTCCTCTGGATGGGTTCTTCTTCAGTGAAACGTTTCYTCTCTCCTCCAAGAGACTTCGTCGGTCTGAGGAGTTTCAGGTGAACTCAGCCTTAAAAGCACAGCCTCCACATGGACAAACAGGTTAGTCATATACAAAAGAGGGCCATCGCCTAACCCCGCCCCACCTGCACCCACCCACTACATACACATAGCACAACACCAAAGAACCACAGCCGAATTATCCAAACCCATAAGCCAGGTGAATAAGTCAGGTGATGGGGCACATGACCCTCTATGAACAATAGAGCTAATCAAGCCTATTGTTAGGTGATGGCCCTCTTTTGCAGGTGACTAACCTGTTTGTCCATGTGGAGGCAGTGCTTATAAGGCTGAGTTCACCTGAAACTCCTCCGACTGACGAAGTCTTTTGGAGGAGAGACGAAACGTTTCACTAAAGAAGAACCCATCCAGAGGACCTACTTGTTTTTTTCTTTTTGATCACAAATGGTTACACAGAGCAGGCGGTACATATACGTCCTTTGTAGATACATGCCTGAAAACATTTACAACACAAATGTTTTCACATTAGAACTCAATTTTCTGTTGTCTAAGGTTTCTGGTCACATGATAGGGAGAACCAGCTTGCCAGAACCTGAAGGAGTTGTTGATGAGATGCTGAAACTTKCTGCCTGGGACAATCCACGACCGATTTAATGGCGGAGAATATTAGCCTAGCTGATGTGTAGTTTGTATGGCTTCGGTTCTTACATTACCATTCAAGTCTTATTGTTGCCCTGTCCTTTACACACATCTGAGAAATTGAACACAATATATTTTACAGGGCAATAAACCACATGATTTAAAGTAATGGCATAAACAAAGGAAGTAAACACATCAATTGTCACAATTAGCTCAACTCAGTCAGCTATACAACCAACCAGTCAACGAACCAACCAGTTAGTCGAGAAGCCTATCATTCATTAAATCAGTTTTTATTAATATGATACCACAAGTATCAGAGGGTTTTACACAAACACAATTGACAATGAAACGTTATAAAATAAATCAAGTCACAATTAAAACCAGCTTATAATTCAATGTAAAAATAATATAATTAATGTAAGTCCTCTACCCACTCTGCTACAGCTGCCTCTAAATAACATAAAGTCAGTAACATGCCTCAAAAACATACAAATTTATATTCTGGAAAATATACCTAAGTCAGAGTTGTGAAACAAGCAGTCTGATAAAAGAAATTAAACTAAAAGTGTCGTAACACATTCTGTTTCCACAAGTTTTAAAAAAGTCGTTTAAACAAAGCATTTCTGTGATCATGAACCATAAATTATAGGTCTAATCTGAAAAGAAGAAACTGCCTCAGCTGATTTTATTTAGTAAAAGAGAAACCTGGTGTATATTATTGTATTCAAAAACTTGACAGGCTCATTCATTTTCTTTTTCCAGACTTTTGTCTCTCCCATTAAGCGACTGGTTTGGTCTAAATCTGGTCGTAGGCCCGTAGATCGAGGCAGTGTTTACCGCCGTCCACTGCATACTGTCCCCCTTTACCCCCCTGATTACCTCATACATCCAGAGAGACTCATCTTTGACTATGTAGAGAAGGAGGTCAAGGTAAGAACTGGTTTAAAAACCAGAACCTAAAACATAAATAGGTTGCCACTGACCTTTTGACCTGTGTCCTCTACTCTCAGTTTCTCGGTCACCTGACCTGGGTGTCAGTTTCACTCAATCCCTCCAGCAGAGATGAACTTCTACAGTTACTGGATACAGCCCGGGTTAGTATTAATCAGCTTTATACTATAGCTATATATATA